GCATGCATGCATGCATGCATACATACATACATACATATCTTTGTTATCCAAAATATTTGTTCTTGTCTGGTTACACTTAGTGAAAATATAAATAATTCAATGAAAAGAATGTATACATTTCTTTTTTCCTTCCATCCCACAACAACTGATATTAATTTTTGCATGAATAAGTATGCTTTAGAACAATTAGATGATAAATAGGAACATAGTGAAATGTAATTAACAGTTAAACACAATGGTTACTCATAAGTAAATAAAGGTAGAATGTAGTTCCATATAAAATGATTCCTTTACAAAATACATGTATTATTTTTATTCCAGTTACTGCTTCAATGACATTTTATTGGAATTAGCAGAGGGTGGAAACAGGCCTATGAACAAATGCACAGAAATTTAGTTTAATTGTGTAAAATTTCCTTTTAATGCAGGAGACTAGAGATGTACCACATGATTTAAGTTCAAATTGTTTTTAATCCAAAATGGCCACTTCAAGAGCAAGTGCCTCATTCTGAATGAAAAAATTGCCATTTGAAGAGCTTTGTGTGAAAACCACTCTATGTCAACTTTAAAACACTTCCAAAATAATCATACATTGACAGCTGGTTCACACATTAAATGGGTATTTGAATTCAAAAACTAAAATGGTTCAACATTTGAAAGGGTTCAAATTCAAACATTTTAAACACCCTTAGAGAGGGCTCCCCACCCCCCACCCCAGTTCCAGCAAGAAAAACTACAAAAGAGATGGAAAAGTGTAATATATTTAATTCATTGGACTGAATTTAAATACAACTGCAAGAAAATACATGCAGGATATTTTTAAAAAGAGCTCTAATGCTTGTGTATAGGGTATATTTGTAGATTGCTGCTTGTAAGCATCCTCAGGATTTACAGAGACAAATGGGAGCTGATGTTAAGTTCAGTGCAGTAGAATTTATTTTATGCATGTTTTTTGATGGACTGGTTTCTTGGCTATAATTTAGATTCAACTCTAAGAAAATATTTTTTTTTCCGAAACAGGAAAAACGTGTTAAACAGGGTGTTGTTTTTTTTCCCCTGATACTAGAACAGTTTTTATGGTAATCTATAATTACGGCACAAATACAGCAAGCAATAGTTCTAAAATTAAAGGAGTTCAGTTAAACACAACTAAAAAGGAAAAACTAATCTATTTGTATGTGCATATTCCCATGACTATCATAGTGCTCAGATTGGCATACTATGGGTTTCCTTTAACTATGGTTGAAATAGAAGTAGATTTTGCATAAAACCATACCAAAATGCTTCCTTGATGCTAGAAACTGCCAAGTTAACTGAATGACTAATTCACAGTATGTAGTAGGCATGGTGGTCATAAAATGAGAGCAAAGAAACTCAACATGCCATGCTGGTTCAAAGTGTGATAGCCAGTGATTCACATAGAAAGCATATACAGATGCAAAAAAAGATGGACTGCTTCAAAACTTTTTTCTAATACATGCCAGCAACAACTTTGTAAAGTGGTGGTCATATGAACTGAAACAAATCCTCATACAGCCCTTCTTTCTCAAGCAAATCTTAATCATTTTGTCCATCTGAGTGGATGATCCAGAGAAAATGGCTGTCATTGAGCATGCACAGTCAAGCCACAGTTAGCAGGTTAATAATCACCTTGGATCTACTGCACCGCTCCTTCAAAAAAGAATAGAAAGGGAGTTTTTGGAAGCATCCCATACATTTCACAGCTTGTAAAAACAATAGCAGACGAGCAACACCATAACCAGTGTTGTCCAAACTTGGCCACTTCAAGATGAGTGGACTTCAACTCCCAGAATTGAAGCTGGGCTG